TGGTTTCTTTTCTCTCTCCTGCCTTCCTCTGCATCCCTTTCTTTCTTTAAGATTTTTGCTTGTTTGGATTTTTGTTTTGTATGCTTCCTCTGTAGTTCAAGCTTGCTTGAAACTCACAGTATAGCCTAGAGCCCAGACTGACCTAAACTCATGGCAATCCTCCTGCCTCAGCCTGGGATTACAGGCGTAAATTACCTTGATTGTGTTTTTTCCATTTTCCTGTAATTGTTGAAGGTAAAATTGACTCGGTAGCCTGTTCACCACCCTGTGGTTTTCACTCTTCCTGATACCCTGTGACCATTCCTTTGGATCCAGATGGAAAGTGAGCTCCTACGAGTTGCTGTGTTAGGAAATGGGGGGACACGTCTCGCCTGGTCAGTCACGGTTCAGAGTAGAGCCCTCCTGAGTTCTCACAGGAATGGGATTTTATTCAGTTGGTGGAGGATGGGTGGTGAGGGCAGGGTTGGAGAAGGAGCCAGCAGGCAGGCAGTATGGCTGACTATCTGAGCACACCTTCATCTTTAAGGGATGCTGAGGGGCGGTACTGAGAAGCTGGGCCCAGTGTAGGTGGAAATACCATCTGGGAGTGGGCCTGAGGCTCAAGAGTCCTCAAATGAGCACTTAGGAAGAGCTGGAGGCACCAATAATAAGAGATGGACAAGTTGCAGCCTGATGACCCTCTGGGTCTGTCTCCTAGCTGACCTGGATCAGCTTCAGAGAGGGCGAGCACCAGTTTCTCTTTATTTCCACATGGTGTGTGAGTTCGCCTTCTGGCCCCTCTTCACTCTGGGAGGAGCAGCTCCAACTGTGCCAAGCTGAAGGGCTCAACCCTTACATTTAAGTTGTCATTGGTGGGGGCAGAGAACCCTGACTTGACAGAGAAACAAACAAACAAACTCACAGACAGTCCTAGGCCCATGAACCGGGAACTCACAGACTTGGGTATGGTGTGTGTGTGTGTGTGTGTGTGTGTGTGTGTGTGTGTGTGTGTACACTAAGACAAGGACCCAGCTGCTGAGGTTACCCCACATTGCCTTCTGAGCAAAATGTCCTCTTCCGTCCTGTCTTGCTGTCACAGCCCTTTCCAGATTCTCAGAGCAAGCTAAGGAAGTCGACATGCACCCAGTTCGCAAGCCCTCTGGTGAGCTAGCTGCTGGGTGTGGATGGCCAGCCAGCAGGCTCTCACGCCCATACGGCCAAGGGAATGACGGGTTGGGAAATCAGAGGTATGCCCCACCCTGCAAGCCAGGCTTGCAGGTGACTCACACAATTGACTGGTCCCATTCCAGAGATCACCATTAAGCAGCTTGTGTCTGACACCCCAAAGTATGTGGGCATCTATGTGGGATACCATGTGGAGCAAGTGAAAATGACAGGTACCTGCCTTGGAGGTCAAGATGACCCTCCCACCGGCCTCATTTGCCCCCCCTCCTGCTGCTCACAGACACACCCACCTGCCCACTCACTCCACAGAGAGCTGCACCCTGCTGCAAGGCTGTTGACGGGTGGCGGCACCCTCAGCTCCTTGGGCAAACAGTGCAGGAGATGTGGGAAGAGTTCGAGGAGGTTGAGGAAGAGCCCAGAAGGCACAGCGAGAGGCTCAGCTAAGATTCAAGGCCATGCTGATGGACAGTTTTCTACAGAGGGGAGCACGCGCCTCCGCGGGCAGCCCCGCCTGTGCTCCACCCACCTCCTTCTAGCATTGGTCAAGGTCAGCTGAGAGCTGGTGGTCCTGCTGCACCCCCTCCCCAAGTTTCATCAGCGCTCTCTGCAGTTGAGTTCCATCTTCTGAGAAGCAGACTCACTGAGGGGACTAGGGAAGCGGCATTTAAAACAGGTGCCCCCAAGGATTCCCAGGCAGCTGGGCAGGGGCAAGTTTATGGAAAACATGGGACTAGGCAGTATGCGTGCAGATGTGGGTCTGGAAGAGGAGGAAGAGACAGAATCAAGTAAGACTGCGCAGCCTAGATGGGAAGGAAGATCTTGCACGAATCGATGATGCAGACATCCTACAAATGCCTGGGGTACCGAAGTCGGGGAGGCCCCGCGGGCTGGCCCCCCCGCCCTGGCATCGCCAGCAAGTCTCCTTAAATTTTGTACCTTGGACTCCTCACTTGCCTTGCTTTCTTCAAAGCCCTGGGGTCAACAGCCAAAGCCTGGCAAGTAGAAAGCACTGTGAAAATGTTTGATGAGTGGATATTTAACAGCCAAACCCACCCTGAGTGCTAACTGTTGGCCAGAGGTTTGGGCAAAGAACTGGGTGTAACGGCAAGTCAGGCGGAACGCGTGTCTGGGAACGGACAGATCGGTGTCTCAGTGAGGCTTCCCATCGCTGTGATAAACACCGTGACCATAAGCAGCCTGGGGAAGAAACGGTTGTTTCATTTCCACCTCCATACCCCAGTCCATCATCGAAGGAAGTCAGGGCAGGAACTCGAGTGGGGCGGGAACTGGCAGAGAGGTCGTGGAGGAATGAAGGCTGCTTACTGGCTTCCTCTTTATGGCTTATTCAGCCTGTTTTCTTGTATCATCTGGGACCACCAGCCCAGAGGTGGCCCCTCCCCTTGTGGAAGGGGTCCCACCCACATCAATCATCAACCCACCCACATCAATCATCAACCAAGAAAATGGGCCAAAGGCTTGCCCACAGGCCAGCCTGCTGAGGGCATTTCCCCCAGCTGAGATCCCTTCTTCCAAAATTACTCTAGCCTGTGTCAAGTTGACAGAGACCCTGCCTAGCCCAGATGGGGGAACTCGTGTGGAAGAGACGACCAGCCTTGAGCTTGGCTGTCTTGACACTCTGAAACCCAGTGGAGGAGAGGATAGTGGGAAGGACAGGGCTGGGTGGAGTCGGGGGGTCTAACACAGCACCCTTCACGGTTACTTGCCAAATGACTGAATGTCAGCTCAGCGTTCTAGGCATATACACCAGGATGTAAGCAGTTTGAAAACTGAGTCTAAGTTGAGAATAGTCTGTAATAGTCTGTAGAGGCCCAACATAAAAGGCCTGCTACCCATCTAACCCAGGGGTTCCACGTGTGGTCCACTGTCAAGACCTCTGAGGAGGACAAGGACAATACAGATCCTCCAGGGCCCACCCCAGATCAAAGACCTTCACATCTGAACAAAGGGCCTGTCTATATCTGGACTCCTCAAGTTCATTGTCACCTGGGCTCAACAACTCTCATTGAGTCTTAGGAGGCTTTAGGGGGAGTTGTGAACCCCAGAGAGAAAGCTTCCTTCTGGGACCCAACAGTGCTGCGTATCTGAAATCCCAGCATTTGGGAGGCCAAGGCAGGAGGGTTGCAAGTTCAAGGCTACCGTGTGCTATTATAGTAGGACTTCAAAACAGACAAACGAAACCTTCATCTGTTATTTGGGGGCTAGGATATAACTCAATGGCAGAATATTTGCTTAGCACACTTGAGGCTGTGGGTTCCATACCAAGTATTTCAAGATAAAAAGAAAAGGAAGTGGTAGAGGGAGAGGAGGAGGGGAAGGCGGCACCCTATCTTATTGTTACAAACATAGAACCTCTGAACACCGTCATCTCTGTTCCTCCTCACCAACTGGTGCTGGGTTAGAACCCAGGACTTAGGCTGCACCAGGAAAGTAGTCTACCCCTGACCTTTGCAGAGAACCCTCTGTGGATCGCCAGTTTTCTTACTCTAAGATCTTCTGGTCCCTCCCCAGCACTTGAGGAACCTGGGGAGTTTAAACAGGCTCAGAGGATGGACCAGTGACTTCAGAAGTGACTGATGCTGTGGACCCACAGGAGTATCCCAGCAGGACTCCATCCCCTCGCAAGAAAGGGGCGTGCCATCTGAGATGGGGTCTCACTCTGAAGCCGAGGTTGGCCTCAGGCTTGTGGCAATCCTCCTGCTATAGCCTCTCTGGTGCTGAGATCACAGGAGTGAGCTGCCATGCCTGGCTATGCCTTCCTTCATGTTGTTGTCTTAAGCTGATTTTTTTCCTCCAATAAATGAGGAAAAAAAACAGCCAAAAAAGAAAGGACCTGAATGGCCCAAGCTCAGATGCCCCTTTCAATAAAAAAGAAAGAAGGAAGGAAGGAAGGAAGGAAGGAAGGAAGGAAGGAAGGAAGGAAGGAAGGCAAACGGACAGAAGGGAAGACAGATTGCCTCTTCCCTCTGGGCACTGTCCTCCTGTGTTGCTGAGGAGCGGGCCTCTCCTACCACATCTGACTTCTATTCCCATTCCCGAGAGAGGCTGTGATGTATGGGAACTACAGAGACTCAGTCCCCAGGGTTAAGGAACCTTGCTTCCCCAATGGGACAGCTGTCAGACACTCTGCCAGGAGGCATATGGGCTCTGCAGGGACTGGGACCACCAACTGGTGACACCCCATAGTAGGGTGCTCTTCTTGTAGGTTTAGGGACCTCAGCGTACACAGGTATCTGGGGGAACAGCCTCCCTCGGGGAGGATTATGTAAGTACTTTTTCCAAGTGATTTCTTTCTTGGCCTGTGTTTAACCTTTATTTAATTGGCCCTGATTTACTTTGCTGATTGATGCTCAGGTCCAGGAAAACCTTCCCTGCTAGGTTTCCAGCCTGCTGAGAAGTGATTAAGATGAGCCAACATTCTGCAGGTGACTTCTCTCACACACAGACTGGGGGAGGACCCGGGCTCTAGAAAGAGAGGGACGCTGCCTGCTTAGTAAGTTGTCCCACAGTGACCAAACTGACATCAGCTGGTTGGAGCTTCGGAAAGGGAGACTTTCTCTTGAGGCAAAAACAAACAAACAAACAAACACAAAAAATTCTTGAATAGTTTGAATCAAAATAAAATAAAGACAGGATGGAAGACATAAGCTTGGAGACCAGAAGCCTTCCAAACCAGAGGAGTCATGGATTTGGTCTCTAACACTGAAAACTGAGTGACCCTGGAAGTTCTGGGCACTCAAGTGTAGAGAGGTTGGGACAGAGAGCTAGCTAGAGCCAGGCTGGTGTAGGTAAGATGCATCTCTCTTTTTGTTTCCCAGTCAGAAGAGGAGTCCCCACCGGCTCTGGGCCTCTGAATGTTCGGGCTGGAAATCTCACCTCCCTTCTCTCCAGAGGCACAGGAATGCTCGCTCAGGCTGCACTCTCTGCGTGTGGAGACCTGTCACGGAGCGCTGCCGGGGATTGCAACAGGTACTTGGCAATGCTGCCTGCACACATGAACCGAGTTACAAAACATAGATGGTATCTTGTGTGACACACGGTAGGGCTGCCGTGGTGCTGAGACGGGGCCTGGACCGGAGCCCTGGCTGAGTGGATATCATTAGCATGACTGTACCTAAAAAGAGTAGAGTCCCCGTCTGGGGACACAGGCTGAAATGCTGAAATGGCCACGAAACTGCCTGGTACTGACTGGAGCTTGGAAACTAAAACTTGGTTCATGTGCCCGCTTCAGGTGCAAGACAGTTCCCCCGTCTCCAATGCCAGGTACAGTAGTTTGTATTAGTAGTTTACACTTTGTAGGGTACACTTAGCTTTTCAGGGTGTGTCTATAAGGACACATGACATAAACATATGAATATTCATAATTATTCAAGCGTTTACTACCCAACCCCTTGAAGGAAGGAAGTTGAATATATCCATGGATAATGGTGCCTGGCCTGTAATCCCAGGACTTGGGAGGATCAAGAGTTTGACAGTTCTAGCTGCATAGTGAGTTGGAGACCAGCCTGGGTTGTACCAGACCCTGTCTCAGAAAATAAGCAAACAAACAAATAAAACAAAAACATTTGTTTATGAGCAAATTACTTATAAAATATTTCCCTATTAAAACATTAGCAGAGAGAAGTGGCTGGAAGGAGAAGAAGGAGGGGAAACGATGGTTTGATTGTAAAATAAATAAGTACATTTTTAAAAGAAAGAAAAACAATTAAAAATTAAAATAATAAAAATTCAAAACCAAAACAACAACACCAAAAGCCATCAGCCCTCGGCTGCCATCACTCCACCCCCTCCTCCTGGGACTGGGTCTCTACAGGAGGGTCACTTGTTGTCCTAACAACTCAGTTCATAAATATCATATGAACTCTGATGACGAACAAGCAGGGCATTGGAAAAGACGACCACGCTTACGAAGGGAAATGAAGGAAATCCAACCATAAAGAGGCTTAAAATGGATAAAATCTTAAGCATTTGGTAAAACGGATACATGAACAACTTTGTTTTCAGAGGCAGAAGCAGGAGCTTACTGTAGCCCAGGCTATCCCAGAACTCACCATGAGCTACACACTCACAATTCTCCTGGTTCAGTCTCCCGAGGGCTGAGAGGCCTGGTGGAAGTTTGCCTCTCTGGTGACAGTTTCACAAGCCTAAGCAATGTAGAAGATGTCATGGGACATAATTTTCTCAGGAAATACTGACTGATGCTGGAGACATAGCTTGATAAATATCCACATAGCACTCATAAAGGCCAATACCGAGAGCTGAAAACTAAAACGTATACTAAAAACCTAATAGACTCATTCTTTAGGGATTAGCACATATATTTACTAAACCGCAGAAAATAGATGTTAAGATTTTTGAGTTTCACTTTTCAGCAGGAAGTCTTAATCAAACTTTACCCCGCTCATTAAAAAAAAAAAAACATTTTTTTAAAGTAATTCATATTCAGTGCCCCTGCTTGGTAGCCATTATCTTAGCGTGTGGAGGGGGAGACGGAGTGTGAGCAGGAACCAAAGATCCTCCTTAGCCACTCAGCAGAAGGGAGAGAAAGGGGCCCCATTGCCTCCCTCAGTCCCGTGAAACCCGAGGGAGAAGGGTATTCTTTTACCCTTTTGAATGGTCTTTTTATTTTCCAGTGGGAGGAGGAAGGTTGAGACTGGGTTTCCTCGAACTCGCAGAGATCCGCCTGCCTCTGCCTCCCGAGTGCTGGGATTAAAGGCGTGCGCCACCGCCGCCGCTGCCCCAACCACCTGGCTGAAAGTCTTACTTTTAATTGTGCATCTATTGGAGGTACGCTCCTCTGTATGCAGGCGCCTAAGGAGTCCAGAAACTTCGGATCCCCTCGACCCTGAGTTACAGGTCACGTGAACCACCAGAAGTGGGTGCCGTTTCCTGAACTCTGGTCCTCTGAAAGAGCAGCAAGCTGTCTTAACCACGGCACTACCCCTCCAGCACTGAGCTGTGTCTTCTTGAGAGAAAGCCCTGGGGAGTTCCTAGAGCACTTTAACCAGAATCTCCCTGGCGCAATTTGTGGGGCTGCTGACCTGTGAGCAATTCTCCAGTCACACACAGGGAGCTCAACTTGATTTTCAACCACCATTGGGATGGATCCTTGCTCTCCCCTCAGCTGTGGGAGTCGTCATTCCACTTGGATAGGAGCGGTGGACCCCTATCCAGTGGTGGGGAAGGGGCAATGGTTTTCTTTTTTAGGGGTCTTGGCGGTTCATGTTAGTAATCCCAACACTCGGGAGGGGGAGGCAGGAAGCTCTTTCATGAATTCAGGGCCAGCCTAGTTTACATACTGAGTTCCAGGCAGTCCAGGGCTATGTAAGAGAGACCCACACAGAAACACAGAACAGACAAACTTGTTAAAAAGTGATTGAGACTGTAATGTCAAAAATAAAACACTGCAGGTCCCCGAGTGACGGCAGCAGGCCATGAAGGGCAGAGGGTCCCAGACAGAGAGCGGCACAGTGGGTGAGAAACCTCGGCGGGTCAGCCAGTCCCATGAGGAGCTGTGGCAGGCGAGAGACGGAGACGGACAGGCACTCCAGGCAGAGAGATGTTAGATATTTATTTGGTGGGTTATGGAAGGGAAGGGAAAAGGGGAGGGGGGAAGGGGGATGAGGAGGAGAGGCAGAGAGAGATTGAGAGAGAACCCGATGGGGAGGAGAAGGGAGAGAGGCAGATGCTGCCTCTCCAGAAAGGAGCTCAAACTGGAAGTGGATGGAAAATCCGCTTGCCTCTGTGGAAGCTGGAGGGGGCTGAGGGGTGGGGGTGGGGGCGGTGGGGGCTGGTTTGTCTCTTAAAGGGACAGTACAGACCATTACAGAGACAATGAGAGGGGGCTGGAGAGATGGCTCAACAGTTAAGAGCACTGATTGTTTTACCAGAGGTCCTGAGTTCAATTCCCAGCAACCACATGGTGACTCACAACCATCTGTAATGAGATCTGGTGCGAACTTCTGGCCTGCAGGGACACGTGTAGGCAGAACATTGTATACATGATAAATAAATAAATCTTAAACAACAACAACAACAACAAAACAGAGACAATGAGAATAGCCCCTTGCAGAAAATTCAAGGCCTATTTTATGCTATCTTGCTGGCTTCCGAGCCCGCGACGGCACGACCACACTGCAATGCTGTGACACTCTACCACTGAGTTGCATCCTCGGCCCTTTCTTTGTCTCTTTCTCTTTCTTTAAAATAACTTTATTACTGCTTATTTATTTACACTGTGTGTGAGAACACAGATGCCCCCACACACTGTGGAAGTCAAGGACAACTTTCAAGACTTGGTTCTCCTCCTACGCTCCTGTAATCACAAACACCTTGACTTAAGCCGTGTTGTCAGGCTTGGTGGCAAGGACCACTGAGCCATCTCACTGGCCCTCCAGTCCTTTCTTTATAAATTTTATTTTGAGGGGACTGGACAGATTGCTCAGCGGTTAAAAACACTGACTGCTCTTCCAGAGGGCCCAGGTTCAATTCCCAGCATCCACATGGCAGCTCATGGCTATAACTCCAGTTCTGAGGGATCTAACACACACACACAGAGAAACATACATGCAGACAAAACACCAATGCCTATAAAACAAATAAATTATTAAAATTTCATTTTGAGTCAGTCTCAGAAAATTTCCCAGGCTGGCCTTAACTCGTATTGTAGCCATGCAGGCCTTGAACTGTTGATCTGTTTGTCCCAGCCTCCCCAGCAGCTGGGATCACCAGGTATGTACCAGAGCCTGATGCCCTTCCCCCTTCCCAGGCTAGCTTTCCTTAAATCTCGCGAGAGGCCTTGACCAAAACCTCCTAGAGAACTTACAAATAGCAGATGCCAATTACAGTCTAATTTGAGATGAGGAATATCATAATGTCACTGGGTCAGTTCCTCGCCAGATGGGCAGGAACTGTTTTTCTTGCCTCCAAATCAGAAGAGACTTTGTCATAGACATTATGTGGCCCACCTGACCATGTACACACCAGATTCAACTTAGAATCGAGTTTTCTGAAGGCCGCAAGGCTCTGAGGATGGACGCCCACCATTCTCTCTCCTGCACAGTTACTACTAAAGTCTCACGTGATCACGCTTGCTGACCCAAGTCCTGAGAGCTGAATGCTGCTAGACTCTGTTCTCAACCACTCTGCTGTAGGTTCGGGGGAGGGAGGTGTTGAAAGAGTCAAACTGCTTCCCTAAGAAGTGGCTCAGTCGATGCCCTTCCCAGCAGCATTGGAGAGTTCCACTCTCTTGGCTCCTCACTGATGCGAGCCAACCCTAGACAGAAGCCGAGACTAGTTGGAGTGAATCAGTCAAAGGGGAAGCCACCTCACAGAGCCACCAGCAAGGGGCTGCGTTTAAAGACCTGTGCTGGAGTGGAATTGCTGGATCCTGAGAAACTACCACACTGATTTCCAAAGTGGTTGCACAAGTTTGCATTCCCACCAGCAATGGATATGTGTTCCCCTTACTCCACATCCTCTCCAGCATAGGCTATCATTGGTGTTTTTGATTTTAGCCATTCTGACAGGTGTAAGATGGTGTCTCAGAGTTGTTTTGATTTGCATTTCCCTGATTGCTAAGGAAGTTGAGCATGACCTTAAGTATCTTTTGGCCATTTGAACTTGTTCTGTTGAGAATTCTCTGTTCAGTTCAATACCCCATTTTTCAGTTGGGTTATTCAGAATTTTAATGACTAGTTTCTTGAGTTCTTTATATATTTTGGAGAATGGGAGCTCACCAAGGCCAGCTGGAGTAGGAAGGAAGAGCCTGTGACCAAACCGGACTCTCTGAATGTGGCTGACAATGGGGGCTGACTGAGAAGCCAATGATAATGGCACTGGGTTTTGATCCTACTGCATGTACTGGCTTTGTGGGAGCCTAGTCTGTTTGGATGCACACCCTCCTAGACCTGGATGGAGTGGGGAGGGCCTTGGACTTCCCACAGGGCAGGGTACCCTGACCTCTCTTAGGACTGGAGAGGGAGGGGGGAGAGGGAGGAGGAGTGGACAGGAAATTAGGGGAGGTGAGGAGATGGAAATTCTTAATAAATAAAAACAAAATAAAATTAACATTTTAAAATGGCAAAAAAAAAAAAAAATTCAGGAGAAGTAAAATAAAGACCCGTGCTGGAAAGCACTAGCTGACGTGCAAGGCCAAGAGGAGCGGCACAATTACAAACACATACAGTTCCAGGTGTCATCAACTGTCTGTAACTCCAGTGCAGGTCTGAGTCCCAGCACCCGGGAGACTGAGACAGGATGGATAAGCACAGGTTTGAGCCTGGGCCTGCAAAGCGAATACCAGACCAGCAATGCTAGCTACATCAGAAGACTCGGACACAAGATAGACAAGACTCCAAACTGTTTTTTCTTGCATATGATTATTTAGCTACTCCCTCCCCCCCCCTGCGCTGCCAAATATCTCATTCATTCAGTCTTTGCTCCCACTCTTTGTGCTTCACTGGCTTGTACTAACTTGGTCAGAAGCATTGTTTGGCTTGACTTCAGCATGGCCTGGCGTGGCCATGGTCAGCAGGAAGGGAGAGACGTAGAGACCAGAGTGTCTTGCTGAGCAGAATCCAGCCGCACTGGATAAACTCTTCCCCCACCTACTCAGTACCATTCTCAGCCCAGAGGATCGGGTGGAATACTACGCTGACAGCAACAATAATTGTAGAGAACTTTGGACCTCTGCTACAACAGCTCAGGTATCGCCAAGGACATGACATGATGCAAATGCAGAATTCTGGGACCTGATCCGGATCCATTAAATGAGAATCTGCTTCGAAGCTGAGTGTGGTTGAACACACCTATAATCCCTGGAGAGGCAGGACAATCAATCTCAAGTTCCAGGCCAGCCTGAGTGTCGTGAGAAATTATCTCAAGAACTCCCAGGGCCTATCGCTCGGGGTACAGCCTTTGCCTAGCAAGCACAAGCTCTGGGGTTCGTTTCTAGCACAGAGAAGAAAAGCATGAGCAGAGGAGGGGGGAAGGTCTGCTTTCAGCAAGAGTGTGAAGACAGTCAGAGCACACAGAGGCTTGAGGAGCCATGTTTCTGCGGTTCCCAAACGCTCTTCTCGGCACCCCTGATGTCCTCGTGGATAGCTACTCATTCCTGGCTTGTTGCTGAGGAAACTACACAGCCCACGGGAAACCAGAAGGACCCTCAGATCTGTTTGCAGACTATGCAGCAGGCTCGGACATCACACTGTGTGTCTCCTCCTCCCATCTTCTTCACACCAGACTTTAAACACCCCATTCATCCCCAGTCCCAAGAGCTCATCCTTGGATTGATCAAAGACCCATTGAAAGTGGGGTCTCCAGTCTTGGGGTTCTCAGGGGTTCAAGCTGTCTGCTTGAGACCAAGGACACTGCCGCTTGAGCCTTAACCCCTCTCCACCTTCAAAGCAACTTTGAGTTAGGGGCACCATGTTGGTATGTTTGTGAACCCCCAAATTTATGTTGAAATCCTAACCTCTGAAGGGCTGGCACTAGGAAGTGGGCCTTTGGGAAGGTCATTGTAGGTCATGAGGGATGGTTACAGTAGCACTGGAAGGTGAGAAGGCACAGTCCGTGCAAGGTCCTCACCAGAGCCTGTGGAACCTGGCCAATGAGCATCAGCCTTCAGAAACCCAAGAAAGAAATATTTGCTGTTTCTAAACTGCTCAGCTTAGTAGTTTGTTATGACAATCCAAAGGGGCTAAGAACCAAGGACAGCTGGATTTGGGGGGGGGGGACATGAATAGAAATAAGTGAGTTCTTCTTCGCAGTGGGGTTTGCCATTCATTTTTGTTCTTTAAAGGGTGTTGGGTGGTATTGCCTGGGGAGAATGGCTCAATGGTCAAGAGCACTGGCTGCTCTTCTAGAAAGCCAGACTAGACTCCCAGGTCCCACACAGTGGCTCACAACCATCTGTAACTCCAGTCCCAGGGGATCTAACATTCTCATTGGCCTTTACAGGTACTGCATACATAGTGCACAGACATGAATGTAGACAAAGAAAAAAAAACCTATATACGAAATGAAAAAAAAAATCCTTAACATTTTCGTTATTTTTGAGTATAATTTTTAAGGACAAGCAGGAGTGATAATTAAGGGTCTTAGATGCCAGGCATTTGTGGGTAGAATTTAGGGGTTCTGTGAAGCCGACAGGAAGATTTTAGTATCTTTATTTTTATTGAACTTTACCCAAACCCTAGCATTTTCCTCCCTGTAATGATAGGAAACAAACCACAGGAGCGTCAGCGGGACCTGTGACTCTGCTCCTAACAGAAACCCCAGACATCCACAGGGCACCACAGTTACTGCCCATCAGGGTCTCATTTGTGCTCTTCCCAGCTGTGCTTGTTAGAGCCACGCTAGACAGGAGCCCTGGAGTGCTAAATGACCACTTCGTGATTGGATGATTTGCCAACTGGCAGAATGGTTTCCTTTGCCGTCTCTCAGGTTCCATTTGTCTTTGGTGGTTGTTTGGGATTGGTGTGAGCCTCCCCTCTCCTCATTGTACACCTGGCATCGGCAGTTGTAAGGGCTAGCTAGCACTTACAGCCATGAA